GACTGGCGTCTTTCATCCGTCATTTGTAGAACAATATTTAATATTAGAAAGTAATAGGAGAGCTACTACCGTAAGTGCTATTAGGAGAACATGTAAATGTTAAGTGACACTGAACTCGGGATTTAAATCTTAAAAATACATTCAGGTACCCGATTAACAAAAGTGTAGATTTGTGTATCACTCGGCTGTGGATCCTCAGCTGCAGTGCGTTTTTGACGCGTTTTGCGTTTCCGGACCGTTTCCTGACCGGACAAAATGTGACATGCAGTATTTTTCTGTCGTAACCTGAACGGACTGCGCACGTGAGAACTGTAGCCCATAAAACACATAGGGATACATTGGAATGCATTTTTTTTTTCCAAATAAATTTTTTATTGAAAAACATAAGGTTGACAGTCAAATAATACTATACTTTGTACAGGATTACCTATAACATAGAGCATAATAGTATAGGGTTATTACTAATTTTCTTAGACTGTATTAAGTGCCAATCAAAACATTCTAAAAAGGCAGGATAAATAGGCCAGAAATGGGGACAGACCGGGTGGGTGAATGCGAAGCTCTCAGGGTCTGGCTTCCTTCTAGGGAAGGAAGAGGCTTCCCATGAACACGACCAAGGGGGTCCCGCTCTCAGGGTTGGCTGCAGTGCGTCCCATTGGAATGCATTTTTAGTGCAGGAGCATACGGATCCGGTCAGCACACAAAACGGACGTCGTGTGAACTGGCCCTGAATTGGTGCTGACACTGTCCTTCCTTCTGGAGGGGGGCTACTTTTGTTCCCCATGGTTCCTGTGTGTGTTGTAAAATAGCGGGGAAGACACAGGTAAGTTTAAAGCTTTTTTTTTTTTGCATATATCTAGTAGTAGATGTATACAAAAACACCGGAGGGTTTAATAACCCTTTTAACTCCAGAGTTTAGTGTCACTTTAGGTTTTATACAGACCAGGAATAGACGTGTGGGCTGCACATCCCACTTTTTTGTAGAAACATTGAATATATTCTAGCGATTCTTCAAGACTAAGGAGGTACAGTATATTAATAAAGCAATGGAAGTGACTAAGCTCCTACCTCTATTGCCTTGTAAATGACCAGGCTCAGAGTATCAACAAAACATTTTCTGGGCCCCAAATTATCGTTTTGCACCCCAGAATGTATTTTCTAAATACAAGACTATTAATAGAATCGATAACACATGTTGGATCTGAGAAATGTAATCTCATCTGCCATTCGGGGTCCGGCCCTACAGGTCGCTTATCTAAGGTTTAGCCTTCTCTGCTGAATGGTGTCGTTATGTTTTGCCATAAAGTGTGTGTTTTTTTTTTATAGCGGGTAAAGGTAATCACGCTAATTATCTCAGTTTTATTGCTGGAAATCCTGTTCACTGCTGGTTGCTGGGATTTTTCATCGGGAAGTTGTTTTGCCTGTGTAGTGCAAACAGTGTTGTACTAATGGAAGGATGGACAAGGGCTGTTTCTATTTTTTATAGACCTGTATGTAGGTCCTTGCGTAGTGATGTGATCAATATTCTGCCCTTTTACTATTGTATCTACTGACCTGTTAAGCAGTGTTTTGCCCTTTTCAAATATGGCTGCTGTGCCCCTGCACTTTGTGATGAGGTCATCAAGTGTTGTTTGTAGGGCTGGTACTGATTAAAACTTTCGGGTTCGATTAATCGAATTTCTTTTTTAATCGATTAATTTCGATGAATTATAACGCACATACAGCTCCAACTACATTGGCCTATACACATACAGCACAGCAATGAAGTAATAAAATGAACTAGGATCACACTAATCCAGCACGTTATTAATCTCGCGTGCCCCACGCGATATGGCCGCCACTTGAGTGGGGCAACTCAGAATAATAACGTGCTGGATTAATGTGATCCTAGTTCATATAGAAAACTTTAGGAGCGCTGATGTGCAATCTGGGGCTTGAGGGCCACGTATGGCCCTTTGTAGACCTTAGAGTGGGAGCATACATTTGCCAATGGGCTATAATAGCAGTCATTTCTTGCAGTCTGGGGAAAAATGTCTAGTCTCGTCACCTGCATCAGGTTACCAGTCCACAACACCTGTCTGCAGTCTCTGACAGTCTTCTGTAGCACTAGATATACTAAATATTATGCTCACCCCTTTGGTACATTAGGGGCTGCAGCTGAGGCTCCCTTATTTGTCAACCATTGGCCTTGAGAGTATGCACACAAACTTGGCCCCTTGGCCAGAAAGCACGTTTGCATGGCTAAATATGTGTTTGTGTCAGGATTCCAGCTTGCGTACTGCAGAACAAGTGATCACGCAACAAAGACATCAACTTTTATTTGTATATTATTCGCATAGCCTCCAACCCAAGAATTGAAAATCTTAGCAGACATCCTTCTCCTGCACGTTGTCACTGTGCTATGATTATAAGCAGAGAATTAACCTTCTCTATAATTTGCCAGTGTGTGGGCAACCTATACTGAAATGTACCAAGCTACGAGTCCATCAGTTTAAAAGAAACCTGTCATCCGATAAAACAAACATACCGACCTCTTCTTGTGAAGATGATAGCTACCCATCATGCCGACTCTTTGACTTCAGTCACGGACATCGACGTCACCGGACTCCTCCCCCCTTCCCTTCGTTAGCCGACGGAGCCACTTGGGGAAGGAGTCCAGTGACGTCAATGTCTGTGACGTCACCGGATCTCCGACGGAAGACCCGGAAGCCAGCGGAGAGGTGAGTGCCGATCAAAAGAATTTTAATCGATCAAAAGAATTTACGATTAATCGAGGAATTAATCGTTAATTTCTGCAGCCCTAGTTGTTTGGGGATTACAGGGGTTCTTGGGTAAGCTGGATGGAGAGACACATGGGCAGATAGAGAAAAGTGGATATTTATAGAGCACAGACAAGTTACTGTAGCATCCCCTCGCTGCGACATGCTAGAAGGACTGCAATGGCTTATGGTTCCTTTTGATGAATACCTGAAGTTTGATGGTTCACTGGATGTTACTTGTTCAATATATGGATTTTCATATACAATACTCTGTGGATTATGGTCTATTCTGACTAATATATTTCCAAGTTGTGATTACACTTGTTATCCACAAGCCCCAATTGAATGGAGGCACTGGTGCCTATTAGAGGTTGTATCCTGTTCTCCAAGATCTAGGGAAGGCTCTGCTCCTTAATACCTCCAGAGAGTGTACGACTAGGGCTACACTTGCATCACTGATAATGATATGTTACAAAGATGTGGTTGTAGACCAGAAAAAATAACACTCGCTTACCTGACACTGTCTTCTATTTTGCATCAGTGCCCACTTTATGGCAGCAAATCTTGCGTGCATCAATTAAATGTTGCATTGTATCACTAAGCTTTCTTTTCTTTCCTCCTAATATTGCTGTTTACAGTATGAACCAAGAGAAAGTTTACCAATCGTATTCAATGGTCCCATGTTTTCTCCCTCATACCAAGAATGTAGCCAGGCTGTCAGTCATTTCCTGTATTTAAGAGACTGTTTATAGGCAAGTTAGTAGTTGGCATTAAAAAAATAGCATGCACCTTTTTCCTAAATCACGTTGTGCTTCATTGCATGGCAATAGGTTACCATGCAATGCGATACAACACACATGCAATGGCTAGCTGCCTTGGGATGCCATATCAATAATGGCACTGCATCGCAACTAACATTGCAACATGCGATGCGGAATTGCGTGCAACATCACATGTGCTCCCGCCTCGCATTGATGTGGATTGAGCCTGATATGAAGGGTCTCCTGCCATGGAGTTCTCACATGTATGCACTTGTGGGACTTGGGGTATGAGACGCTAGAGTACATTGCACGTAAGCATGGGGCATAGTCTCGGCTTTACAGGAGGGGCAAGCTGTGACTTTTTCAAGAAAGTGGCTATTTGCAACTTTCCATTGTGTCTTGGCATACGCAGATCATTGGCGGCAATAGGCAGGTTCTAAAGAGAGGATTTATGTTGCCTTATTTTAGTGGACGTGACTTTTGACAGGCTTCCTTTAAGAACTAGACATTCCACTTTGTTATGAGCCTTTATCATAGTTGCATTTTATCATACGATGCCTCAGCAATGTCTTAGTGGGATTCTTTTACAAAACATGTGTGGACTATCCAATGATTGCAAACAGCATTAACTACATATTGATATGTATCTTACATTTCCATGTTTTAGGTGTGCCAGAGCTCACCAGAAGGTGCAAATTTTGTTAGTCTGAAATTGAAGATGTATCTTTATAATATGTATGATCTTCTCCAGTGCCACTGTTTAATCGGTTATGTCCATTTTCAAGACAACTGCTGAGTAATGTATGGCCTTGGGCATGTTAACAGAGAAACAACAGCTAAAATAGATGCAAACAATGATATACTAACATAGACCTCTTTGTTGTTCTTCGTTAAAGAGTTTCTTTTTTGTGCACCTTCAGTCCAAAACACCCGGTGTATAAAAATGTCTACCTCTGAGCAGCCAATCCCGGGGTCCTGTTGCTGCACCCTACCTGGGGATTGGCTGATTGAAGGTACACATTATTATTAGGGATATACCGATACTAGTATAGGTGCCGAGTATTTGATGCCTAGCCCAATACTTCCTGTATCTAGAAGCTGGGCAGCGCGTCCTTACACGGCGCCCGGCTCCCTGAGTGGCCAGAAAGCCGGCTCCATGCTTACTCGTCACATAGTGAAGAGAAGCATGGGGACGGCTTCCCTGCTAATCAGGAAGCCAGGTGGAGAGTCATTACACGCCGCCTGTCTTCCTTAATGGGATTTCCGGTATTGGTATTCTGTATCGGCGAGTACCGAAAAAAAATATTGGTACTTGTACTCGATATGGAAATACCGGTATCGGTGCATGCCTATTTATTATAGAATATTTATCAGATCATGCTTGGGGCCACATATTTAAACAGAATCCTTCAGTGTTTATTTCTACTTTTATCAAAGACATGCAGGGTTTTATGTTTATATATTTGTTTTTTTCTTCTAGGCCTCAGAATAGAGGAAAAGCTGCATTGGAGGATGAAGATAGTATGGATGGACTTGAGGCAGCAGAACCAGAAAACTCTGCAGACACAGGTTAATGACCAGATAATGCTTTTATTGTGCTTCAAGATTTTGATTTATTACAGCTAGCTTCTAGGGCCCATTCACACCAGCACCGGCCCATTGTGTCACGTACATGAATGGACTGCCCTAATGCGCCACAAAGGAACAAAAATTGAGCCATACTACACTTGTGGCAGTTCACAGTGGTGTGCTTTAATACAGGGGCTCTGGGCTGCCATTCAGAATAAATGGCACTGCAATGCACCAATGTGCGTAACGCGCGATACCACAGAGCCGGGGCCCTAAATGAGTAGAACCTTTTTTACATTTTTTTATAACTTTTAGGAAAACTTTTTTAGAGCAACTGATGTGCTACCTACCAAAGTAACCTTTTTAAAATGCTACTCACCTGGCCGTCCTCTTAATTTCAGCACCTTCTGACTCAGAACAAGTATGCTCACCAGGGATTACAATGTCACTTTATAAATACTTGTACCAGGTCAGTGACTGAGAATTATTGATTCCACAAAGTCAGACAACTAGCATTTTCAAACGCAAGTCAGCAGTTCTCTCATGATCGATTTGAGTGAGATATAGAATTGTTGGTCAGATTATTTTAGGATATTTAAATATTCAAAAAAGCATTCTTTGATTTGCATAATCATGTTGCAAATACGTGCAAATATTGTAATAAAACTTTTTGGTACCTGCTGATATCTTTCCTTAATATGCAAATGAGCTGCCCAGACAGAATTTGAATCATGGCTGCTTGACCCCCCAAAGTCCTAAAAGAAAGGACTTTGGTGGGTTCCTGCTTCCCAGCATTTCTATTAGATTACTGTTGGGGAGGAGGGAGTACGCCTCACAGACGGGCTGGATTTTTAACTTTTCTGGATTTTTGGGACTTGGAAAAAAAAACCTTAGGTGTTCCATTAGGTGTTTTCACTATCTCTCTAAAGGCCGCTCACATATCAACACAGTTTCCTGCAGTTCCTATGGAGAGGTTTTTTTTTAAACATATAAATGAACCTAAACATCTGGATTGGAAAGCAGTCAGTACACGTCTCTATCATTATTAGTGTAGAGTTTTTTTTTCTTTTTACTCAGTATCCTGGGTTGGGGTGAATTTTATACCATAGAGCAGGGATGTCCAAACTCCGGCCCTCCAGCTGTGGTGAAACTACAAATCCCATGAAGCATCTCTCTCCGGGAGTCATGTCTGTGGCTGTGAGAATCTTGCAAAGCCTCATGGGATTCGTAGTTCCACCACAGCTGGAGGGCCGGAGTTTGGACATCCCTGCCATAGGGCATCTAATGCTGCCATAAGGATGAGGTCACACTGTATAATGTAAGTCATTTTCCATCCTACAGATAACAATACAGCTCGATCAGAACTAAAGATGTTGACAGCATTTCTTATTGCTGTAGAAATGTTTTTTCCTATTCCCACATGGATTCCTGGATTTTGTCTTTACAGCAAGCAAAATAAAGTCCTAAGTTAAAGTGGAAGTAAAGCTTCAAACAAAAACAAAAACTGACGATCAGGCAGGCTTTCTCTGGCAGAGGAAACTGTGTATGTCTCTTATGCCATACAAGCTTATTTCCGCCTCTCAACAATTTTTAATTACCTGTTCGCATGTGCAGCTCAGTACACACACCGGCATGCCGCTGGAGTTAGGTCATCGGGGCCCGGGCGAACACTTGAAACCAGGTAGAAGATTAGTAAGAAGATGGAGATGCTGGTGAGGGAGAAGTGCATCACTGGAGGGGATTGTTGTGGTAGGCATGTCTGCCATTGTGTGCGAATATGCGGTGCACTTTAAGTCATTATGGCTTAAAGTAGTTCAGTAAACTCCCCATTATCCGGCATTCAGGCAACAGACACTCTGAAGCAACCCACAAAAAAAAAAATCAAGGACATAAAATGTCTTCGATTTTTTTTTTTGCCGTTGGCTTGATGCACACTAAAAACATTTCCTTAGCAACTAACGGACTAACTTTCTCATAGGGGTTTCAATAGCCAGTCTGCTGTTGCAATTTGAAATAACCAGAAGGCTGGCTATTGAAACCCTGCCCACTGAGCAGAGGCGTGGACCTGAGCGTGAACTTTTTCTCTTAGTGAGCGGGGTTTCAAGAAGGAGCCAGCCTGCTATTGGCTATTTCAAATTGCAAAAACCAATAGCAGGCTGGGTATTGCACCTGCCTGCTGAGCAGAGGAGCAGACATACAAACACAGCAAATAAAGCTACTACACACCTTCTGGCCCCCTCTCCTCCCTTCTTCAAGCTAGTAGATGAACAGTTGCTGGAGTCTGCACTGTCCTTAGTGATCTTGTACTGGACAGGGCGTTCAGAGAAGCTGAGAGACTTGGAAGCAGCTGTTCAGAAACATGATGATTGTAAGTGTTTGGGCAAACATGTAAAGCAATGCTTTGCTGGGCAAGTCATTTTGTTTGACCTGGATTCAATATTGAAAAGAAGTTTGAGAGTTTAATACAGTTAACTCCCAGTATACGGCACACACGGGGTATGTCTGCAGTGCATTATTGGATGAAGAACATTGGCCTCTACACTAGAATTTTTTTTTATCAGAGATTCATTATTTGTTAAGCTAAAGCTGTACGGTGGATGTATTCCTCCCAACTGTGCTCATCATGGAAAACGCAGGTCAACCAAATCATACCTACTGAAAAAAATGATATACAGAAAGAAAAAAATGTCTTCTCAAAAGTTCTGAAGATTATGGGATATTTGGTGTGAATTCTACTTCATGATAACTATGCTTTAAAAACGCCCAGACCTCATATTAGTATTGTACATTAATGTGTCGTTTTCACACCTTCATTATGTATGCTTTCCAAATCACCATTCAATTGAACCTGTCAGTTTTCCTTTTTCCCCTTTATAACTTCCTCAGCATCTAGGGCTCTTACACATTTGGATTACTCTGGCTCAGCCTGCGGGCTGAACAGGAGAAAATCTGACGATGTTCCCCATCCACACGAAACTGCTGGGATCTCCGTTGCTGTATTCAAGCAGCTGCAACACCTGGGGCTTCCTGAATACCTGAACAATGACTGCATCTGAGAAGTTGCAATCATTGTTCAGTTGAGAATTTTCCACTCAGCTCAGTCAATTTTTACATTTAATTTGTAGAGACAGGGCAGGGCCGGCCTTAGGCCTTTAGGCGCCCTGTGCGAGAAAGCTTAAAGGTGCCCATACATTGCTCGATTCTTGTACGAGAATCGGGCGAAACCCCGCGATCGTACGAGAATCGAGCAGTGAGAACGAAGACGTGCGACCGTTTCTACTGTACGGTCGCAAGTCTTTTGTCGAACCAACATGCTCGTACGATTCTCGGCGGGTTTCCAGCCTGCTCGTCCGATAGCTGCGGAAAGGGCCGGTGTGCATTGCCGTCATCGGAAGCCCGCCCCTCAGCGGGGTGGGCTTTCGATGATCGCAAGTACGATCTGCCCATCCAAGGTGGGCAGATCGTACGAGCTTTCAAGAAGTATACACCATCGCAAGACAAAAGTCTTGCGATGGTCGTACGGTGTATGGGCACCTTTACAGCGCCCCTCAGTAGCCAAACCCATTTCTCCAATATGCACACCATTTAAAGACTCCCATTTTGTTATGCCCCAAAGAAACATTAAAAAGTATTATAAAAATAAAACTTTTATTCAGAGGTATTAAACTTGTAGGCACAATATAAGTATTCTTATGAAATAAAACAACTGTAGGCAAACAAGTGGTAAACAATAAATGTCAAACTAAAATAGTCTATAAAAATACTGTCAGGGTGTCATGCCGACTCTTTCTTCAAGTAAATAAAAAACAGAACACAAACCTAGACTACATGTTAAATTAATTAATTACTATTTGCCCGAATATACAAAAAATTTATTCGGGCACATAATAATTTGTTTGGGAATGTGCGGGGGCCATGTTGGCCACCGGTGCGTTCTGCGAATACGTGCCACTATCTTGGAGGCGGGGAGCACATGACGTCACATGACGCCGTGTGTGTTTACGTGTGTTTTTACATTTTTATTTTTTTTATTTTTTACTGTTGGGGCTTTGGGGAAACATCAGGGGGTCATGTGAGGATGAGAGAAGCTGCAGGCTGTAGCCACCCCGAGGATGAGCTGTGTCGGCCGCCTGGCGCCCTTGTTCCCATGGTGCGCTGTGCGGCCGAACACCCCAAAGGCCGGCCCTGGAGCCGGGTGGTGCTAACAGGGCCATCCAGGGCTTGAATCTAGTATGATTTAGCAGGTTGCTTGTCATGCAATTGCATTGTAATTGTACAGCTATTTTGAGTGTAATAAAAAGAGCTTAAAAATGTCTGAAGTGGACCTAAGAAGTTTTAAATGTGAGTTTTTAGATTACTTTGGCTTCTATGTATGATATAATACTGGATCTGAGAATCGCCAAGATAATACAAATGTGACACAAGAGGTTGTGGAGGAATTAACACATGAGATGCAGGTGAGCCTTGATAAAAATGAATTCTCAAACATCATAACTGGTAATTGGCCTTGCACCATGCACACGTGTAGAGAGAATCTCATCAGTTGCATCTGTATTGACAGCCATCTGTAATGGGGCTCTATAACAGTTTCCCATCCATTATACACTATATTGTCAAAAGTATTGGGACACTCCTCCAAATCATTGGATTCAGGTGTTCCAATCACCTGCTTGGCCACAGGTGTATAAATTCAAACAGCTCGGCATGCAGACTGCTTCTACAGATATTTGTTAAAAAATGGGTCACGCTCAGGAGCTCAGTGAATTCAAGCGTGGTACCGTGATAGGTTGCCACCTGTGCAATAAGTCCATCCGTGACATTTCCTTGCTACTAAATATTCCACGGTCAACTGTTAGTGGGATTATAACAAAGTGGAAGCAACTGGGAACAGCAGCAACTCAGCCACGAAGTGGTAGGCCATGTAAAATGACAGAGCGGGGTCAGCGTATGCTGAAGTGCACAGTGTGCAGAAGTCGCCAACTGTCTGCAGAGTCAATAGCTACAGACCTCCAAACTTCGTGTTGCCTTCAGATTGGCACAACAACAGTGCGTAGAGAGCTTCATGGAATGGGTTTCCATGGCCGAGCAGCTGCACCCAAGCCTTATATCACCAAGTTCAATGCAAAGCGTCGGATGCAGTGGTGTAAAGCACTCTAGAGAAGTGGAGACGTGTTCTCCGGAGTGACGAATCACCCTTCTCTGTCTGGCAATCTGATGGATGTGTCTGGGTTTGGCGGTTGCCAGGAGAACTGTACTTGCCTGACCTTATTGTGCCAAGTGTAAAGTTTGGTGGAGGGGGGGTTATAGTGTGGTGTTGTTTTTCAGGGGTTGGGCTTGGCCCCTTAGTTCCAGTGTAGGGAACTCTTAAGGCATCAGCATACCAAGACATGTTGGACAATTTCATGCTCCCAACTTTGTGGGAACAGTTTGGGGATGGCCCCTTCCTGTTCCAACATGACTGCTCACCAGTGCACAAAGCAAGGTCCATAAAGACATGGAATGAATTATAGCGGAGACTGCGAGCCAGGCCTTCTCCTCCAACATCAGTACCTGACCTCACAAATGTACTTCTGGAAGAATGGTCAAACATTCCCATAGACACACTCCTAGGCCTTGTGGATGCCTTCCCAGAAGAGTTGAAGCTGTTATAGCGGCAAAGGGTGGGCCAACTCAATATTGAACCCTACAGACTAAGACTGGGATGCCATTAGAGTTAATGTGTATGTAATGACAGGCGTCCCAATACTTTTGGCAATATAGTGTATCTGTTAGTATTGCTGTCCTTCTCTTATGTCTGTTAGCAATACCACACTACCCACAAAAGAAGACTGCCAAGAGCAATGCGACTTTACACCCTTCCTGGTGCTGCAATGAAGAATAGAGAGATGAGTGAGATACCACACAGAAACAGCCAGGTGACGGAGTTGCTGATGAGTCAGCTTCCAAATGAAGAGGAATAAAGCAACTGTGTGGTACAAACCACTCGCCACCAAAACACCCGGGCGATGTCTTGCCTTGAACGGTGATCAGTGAACCAGGGCTCGACTTGAAAGGATGGTGGAAACTGTGATCTGGAGGGCTGAGCTATAAGATGTCTGGGTGATTGCTCCTGCATTCAGGGGGTATATGCTCTTTACTGGGGAATACAAAACATCCTTGCAGTGAAGTGAAGATTTTTTTGGGTATAAATATTGGACAACTATACCATGGCTGCAGTGCATCAAGTTTACCAAATTCTCCAGTGCCTGATCATTTTACTACTATAGCCAAGCATGTTTACAGAGACTGTTTTTCTGTAACCTGGGGATCCTACCAGTAACACATTTGTCCTAGGGTGACAATGCTTACACATCACACTGTATCTATGGAGGAGCAGTGTTGTCACTCTAGGACAGAACTACAGCACTCCTCTCTTTCCTCCTCTCCATAACATGGTGAAATGTTTCGTAGTACTCAGAAATAGCCCGGGAACAATTCTAACTGATATCCGTCAGCGGAGGCAGCGAGCACAGGGTTATCAGCTCACAAGATTTTTGGCAAGATCAAACAGCGCAAAAGAGAATAAAACATTAGTTAGGTTTTACATACGGTACCGTCTCCTTAAAAACATATTTCTTTGTGCACAGAGAAAAGAATACACCAATAGTTGTCATTGACAAGTGAAAATGGCCCGATACTTAAGGCCGATACTGGCCCTTTACATTTTAAATAGGGTCGGCTGCCTCAGGTCCCGCGCGCCCGCCCACGTTTACACACATATAAACGTAAATATGCGTCCGGTGCACCAGCGTGTGAAAACGACAATTGCGCTACACACGTTACATATCGCCGCGAACGTCACAGTGAGAGCAATAATTTTAGGGCCATCAATCACTGATGACACTAAACTGATGAGCGGTAAAAGCTTTTAAAGCGTTGTCAATGGCCAATTTTGAGTATTATAGTTTTTTGAGGTTTCGCGCGCGCATGCAATTTTAAGGTTTTACATGTTTGGTGTCTTTTTACTCGACATGACCCCGCCTCTTATATTTTACCAACAAATTGGGTAATAAATGTTTTATCATTTAATATAGGGGAAATAGTTTTTTTTTTCTTTTCTAATTCGGTAATTTTTCCTTAATATAGTAAAAAATAAAAACCCTAGTGGTGAATAAATACCACCAAAAGAAAGCTCTATCTGTCCCTAAAAAAAATGGTATAAAATTAATTTCAGTACAGCGCTGCATGACGGAATAAATGTCAAAGTACCGCAGCACTGAATACTGAAAAATGGCCTGGATGGGAAGGGGGGTGTAACGGACTTCAACTGGTTAAATGTGTTGGCTGTGTTCGTGTTCGTTGTCGTTTTTAAGGCAAATATAGAAAATACTTGTTGACCTTGGCAGAAATGCAGCTTCCTTGTCACCTCTTGTGAGATAAACTAAACATAAAAACAAACGTCTCTTTCTTGTGTAAACTACGAATACCATCATCTCCTATGTAATGTAGATGAACAAAATCAGACATGTTTAACCACTTGTTGACCGTAGGGTGTTTACACCCCCTTCCTGCCCAGGCAATTTTTCAGTGTTCAGCGCTACGGTACTTTATACTGACATTTATTCCGTCATGCAAAGCTGATTTCACCTAGGGACCCCCAGAGAAGCTGATGAAGCAGAGATCTGCTGTACCAGCTTTTCTCCGGCTTCTGTAGTCGGGAATGACAGCTGAATGCGGAAGTGATGTAATATACATTACTTCCTGCATTCAGAGACCAGACGTGTCGGAGGGAGATCGAATACTGATCTCCAGTGACAGAGCCGCCGTGTCGGTCCTAGCTGGCACAGCGGAGCTCAAGATCAGCGGTGGAGGCAGTGGCAGTGAGGTGTTGGAGGGCAGCGCACACCCGCGTGCATTATACATGCGATCAGGCATCTCTACAGACGCCGGAATGCTTGTATGTAAACAGCCAATGCTCCCCCTGTTCCCTGAAACCCCTCCTAAAATGTTCCCTCCCATAACATATGCTGCCCCGTTCCCTGCCCCCCACCCCCCACACAGTTTTTGCAGGGAGGAGGCACATCATTCCTTGGGTCTGCCTCTTTAGCTGGTGCAGACCTTAATAGTCCATCCTTTCGGTCAGAGCTCTGAGGAACTGGGCACTGGCACAACCAGCATCAGCTATGCGGTCTGCGTCTGACAGAGATGCAGACTGTGTAGCTGCTCCCCTAAGTCAGGTACATGGTCCATGATTGTGTGCCTGACTTGTCAGCTGGCTGCGGGCCGGTACTTTGAGACCCCTGGTCTAGAGAGTATGCTTTCTTTTATTTCAATGCAGTTTCATTTACAAACATTAAAAACATTGTTTTGGCATAGTTTTATAAACAGCCATAAATGATCTGGAATTCTCTTTTATAGGTATAATCTGTCATTGTAGACGGACTACGCCTATGCTATCCTATGCTATGATTGTAAGCTCTCTTGGGCAGGGTTCTCCTTACTATCTTGTCTTGATTTGTATTGTAACTGTAATATCCTCATCATAATGTAAAGCGCTGCGCAAACTGTTGGCACTATATAAATCCTACATAATAACCTTTTGTAGATGTATAGAAGTCAGCCTTCAAAGAAGAAAACAGCTAAATCTTCTGTTATTTTTTTCCTCAGACATTAAAGAAAAACCTGTGGAAGAGGGCGCCCAGACCGAAGCAGCAGACGCTGAGCAGCTAACACCCATTCTCCAGCGCTCTTTATCCGTGGAGTCTGAGCACTCCACTGCCTCTGTGGGAGTTGAAGCCAAAAGCAGGTTTGTGTGTACTGAGTAGACGGATGCTGAGTCAGGGTTGGGGGATGGGCCTCTGTAGAAGGGGAATAATGGAGTAGGGAATGCTGGGAGTGGGATCTGAAGCATTAGCAGGCTGCATGAGCAGCTGCCAAACTGGATGTCTTAATTAGTGCAAACGAGAGTGATAGAGGATGATGCATCCTACGTCCTCGTCTTTACTTAACAGTTGCATGAAAGGTTTCTAGGGAATGAACATTGTAAATCTGCTTTCACACTTGCTCCCAACATATCGCTTCAAGTTGACAAGCAGCAGTCTCCTTATCCCTTTAACCAACTTCTACAACTTGATTAAAGCGGAACTCCAGGAAATGTTTTTTTATTGTGCTCTGTACTAATGATATATCTCTAATGATGGTAATCCTGCGTTCTGCTTTGTTGTGTCAATATGCCGTTGGCTACCTTCCGGCACTGCGTCTGAGGGTTCTTACTCTCATACATTGTAGGAATTGTGTCGTTCACTCTCTCTCTCCCCTCGTCCATCACAGAACACCTTGTATTCTGTTCACAAGACATTCTGTGAATGGAGAAATGACGGAGGAGGGATAGGTAAATGGCAGGATCTTCCCTCTCTGGAAGGAGAGCGTAAATTACCTGATCCCTACACTGTACGAGAGACGGAATTCTCTGTTGCAGCATCGGAAGAAGAGTGCCAATCTTTATCTGGCATTGGTGAAGCTAGCGTTTCCTACACTACACAGCAGTGATCAAGCCCTAGGATTACCATCAGTACAGGTAACTCATTGGTACAGGGCACAATTAAAAAAAAAAAAAAAACTTTCTTCCTGGAGTTCCGCTTTCGCTTTTATTGACCTTTCACAACGTGTCTGGAATCCTTCAATACTTGATTTTTCTGATTTTGAAGAAACAAAGAATAGCCATTGTTTTTAATAAGAATAGTGTCATTAGGATTTGTAGAAAATGTTTAGAGTTCCCTGAACTAGTTGTAAAATGCTACATTGGGATGATATTAGTACTTCTCCACACATATCGTTGGGGTATACTCCAGTAGCTGTCCTACACTTGCTGTCCCATACGAACATCATTTCATTTGAAGCACTTAGAGGCTTGGGGTAAAAAAAAAGGTGGATTCTCCTGTTTGTTCCCCTTGTGGTGTCTCCCCCTTTGCCCTGCAAGGGTTAACTGCTTGTTTTGCCTACGGTTTGAGGAATAAGATGATATACTTCCTCAGCTATCCTCTGCCGTCTGGCATCTTGGGTTGTGGGCTGGCTCTTGACGACCTTGCATACAATTGAGGACTGTTGGTCTGGCTTTGTACATAATGATGTCAAAGAGCTGCGACTGGCCAGGCAGCAAGCCTTACAGTACAAAGGAAGCCTGCATGAGCAAGGAATAAGGTAAGCATATCACCTTATGTATCATCCCCTAGGCAAAATGAGCATTCTCCCTGTGTGGAGGGGGACCCATGTAAAGGACAAAGTCCATCCCATTCACCCTTCCCCACGGGATCAGCAGTACCGGGATGCATAACGTTATGACAAACAAAACGCATGGCATTTGTTAATGATAAATTGTGCTTCAGCAATCCAAGTGTGACCCAGTTAAGATTTAGATCTGCCTTGATAGATTCTGGCTGTTTCTTGTGGTTTAGTGAAGATCTTACTTTAATTTTAGTGATCTGCCTTCACCCATCGGGACTGCTGGCCAGGGTGGATGTTTACTTTGGGGCAGTAAAAAGAGCTCTCATTGTGTGATATTATTATAGTAGATGGTCAGATTGGTTACTTATCTCCCTGCAGCTCTTGTTATTTATGCCATATGACTTAAGACGTAATCCTCCTAGTTTGGATAGCAGTGTTTTTTTTCTAGGTTCTTTCTTTTTATCCATTATAAAATGTGACAGTATAACAACAGTTTAAATAGCTGCCAACTGTGGGATGTCTCTACTTGCAGAAAGGAGAAAGTAGGCAAAGTTTCAGAGTTGTACATCATTCATCTTTTATGGTCTTTACTAAGAATCGTTCATACAATATAAACCATGTATAATATGGAGCAATTGCATTGTGCATGAAACCCAGCTGACATAAATTCAGAATACAAACATATTTGCTATTGTTTATTTCATAAAGTGGGAAACAACCTCAAATAGTGGACAGTAATCGGAGGTGGGGGTCCCTCACACAGTTTCTTTGCCAGGAAATACTACTGTGAGACCTAAATTACATTAAGAACATAGGGGGTGTCATCTTTCCTCAAAAGAATAGCAAGTGACTCTGAAAATCTCCCAGGAGTGCTGAATAATGCAAGTTGGCGTTGGTTCACTCAGCTCTCCTCAACAGTCAGGCTTCATTCACATATAGCGATTGCACTTCCGCACGGTTTTCTATGTGGAAGCCTGCACAAAACACAATATGTGAAACAACTGCACGGATTCCGCTCGTATGCGGCTATTATATAGCCGCGAAAGTGTGAAATCCACCGGATTATCTCGCTTGCGCTCTTTTGGGGGCCGTGCGTTGTCGTACTGTGTGGTCCCCGCAATAGTCTGAACAATGCACATTTAAAGTGCATCGTTTTCTCTGTTTAGAACGGCTCCATGCTTATTGGTACAGCCGAATACTGCGGACAGCCACTCCAGTGCGAATGGAGCCTTAAGCTGGGTATACACGGCTATATTTTCTTTGTTCAACCTGTGGGCTGAATGAGGAAAATCTAACATTTCACCATCAACACTTATGAGTGTGGATGAAGGAATCCCCTTCTGGTTTTACATTGTATTCTGACAGCAGCCTCCATCGGAATACCTGAACGGAGATGCAGCTGATTGGACTTTTCTAATTTGTTCTTTCAATCGGCTGATCAAGGGATGGCAGACAGAAGGTTGCTGACAGGGGCATCCACTGTGCAAATTTTGTATAGCCTACATCTAGGTGCTTTCACAGTGGAATAGTGTGATCAGTAAACAGATACAGGAATAAACAAAGAATGTGCTGTACCCAGGGGCGTATCTGCCGCGAGGCAAACAAGGCGTTTGCCTGGAGCGGCAGATTCGCTGAGGGCGGCACCGCGAGGGTTACTGACCTGTATGCGATGACGCGGACGTCGGCCTGGAGTGGACGGCTGCCTAGGGCAGCACCAAAGTTAAATACACCGCTGGCTGCACCTAGAGATTTCGGCACCCAGAGCAGATCATTTTACTCAAGTTGTTTTCAATAATAATGGTTGGTAAGGAAACAGACTGTGAAAGTTGTCCACTCACACAATTGGGCAGTAGAGACGTGCCGACTTATACTAGTGGTTGTTAGAGAAGTGCTCACTTACATTGCTGGTCAGTGTAGACGTGACTCCTTACATTCATGGGCAGTGTAGGTGGGAGATTAATATCCATCACTGTTCAAGGAACACCTAGCATCCTCTGGAGGGACCCTAGAGTTCCAGGTTTCCCTGGTTGAGAAAGGCTTTTTTTTTTTCAGCCTTTAACAGTATGTTAATGGAATTTGGGCCACTAATTTGAAATTCTATGTGATAACATAGTGAGCTGTGCTAGGATATTAACCTTTTGGAATACAGCCTGTAGGGATATAAGGGTGTTGTCTATAACAGCCAGATCACTCAAGGACAATTATTCCTACTGGAAGTCTAAGGAATAAATCAGACATCTGATTGGTTGGTTTGGTAGACACTGTCATTTTGAACTTCCACCAGATGGCAGACAAAACTCTGTTTACAGCCTTTCAGACACCACATTAAATTCTGATTGTTGAACTTTTCTGTGTACTAGATGCAGCAAAACAAATACATTGTTAGATCAGTCTGCATTTAAATTGTATTTAGATTTAGTCAACTGCTATGTCCGAGCCTCTAAAAAGTTTGGTTTTCCACCTTTTGAGATGCATTGCTGAAAGGTGATCTTGTATCCCAGTTTCAGCTTTGTACCTGTGGGGAATATATTTTCTTTCCTCATTCATTTCCATTCTAATTTCTCTTGCATACTAGTTTTTGTCACTGACAAACTTTAACTTGTAGTTGAAGTGGCTCTAAATTGGAATTGTGTTAAGTCTTTTGGTAAGATATTGAATTCGTCCCTTTAAAGCTCTTTAATTGGCAGAATGTTCAGAAGAACCTTACAACATTAGAGCAGAAAGTGATCTGTGCAGAGAAATATTATCTATCAGAACTAAACTGAACCTGTCACCTAAAATGACAGCAGAAATGAATTGTGTGCTATATCGAAAGCATCTCTCATTACTTTGGTTGCAGAGCTGTTTCCATCCTCTAAACAGCTGAACTTAGTGAGCGCTACATGTGAGTAGCTATTTAGAGAACCAGTCAGGCGCTCTGCCATGCAGACCTCCCTCTTCCCGTTCCCTAGCGCCCCTTTCCTTTCCCTTCCTCCATGCTCCCCCTTTCCCTTCGCATGCCCCCCTCTTTCCCTTCCCAAATAGCTGTATTTTTTAGTTGGGCTCCAACATTTAGCATGTGTTTTTCCTGAAATACCTAAAATTGCACAGCTGAGGATTACTCTCGGACCCCCAGCAACTGTGCTTTAAAGGCACTAAAAAAAATTGAAACTAAAAATATTGCAAATCTGTATGCAAAATAATGTAATGATGATATTCAATGTATGTATTCTGTTTTGATTTAACATGCTGGTATTCATCTCAAGCAGTTGCAGCCACAATTTATTATTTTTTTTGTAAAGAAGCTTTAAATTCCTGGAATAAAAGGTAACAGTTGTACACACTTTTGGCATTGGCAGAGTTTTGTCCCAATCACTGTCATTGTAGCTTTGAGGGTCGCGTATCAAGCAAATTAGCCACATAACTAGTCACAAATTTGGCTGCCTCTCATTCTGCAAAGTCCCTGCGGCAGGTTTACAGACCCGGGTCTCTGTATTCTTGGGCAGACAAGTGCGGCAGTTTGCGAAGTTTTAGGACAGTTTCATTACTAAGAATGGCACAGATTTTCCCTTTAAACAGACGCATAATTAAGAAGTGGTCGGG